GCCCCTGGAAGCAGATGGGGCCCTGCGCTTCCTGCTCCCAGCTATCCTCAATCCTAGATACCAGCTCTCTGGTGAGTTTCTCTCTCCTTTCAATACTAGTGGGGGTGTGGCATAACTGCGGAAGTCCCCTTAAGGTTGTGGGTGTGTTAAAATGTGTTGGTAAGGACAACAGAATGAAGGTGACATTTTGTAGGACTGCCTGAGGACAGTTGCCTTAAAATGAAGACTCCCATAGTCCCTTTGGAAGACCTGCCCTACACACTCAGCATGGTCGCCACCATCAACTCCCAGCATGGCATTGAGAGGGTGCAGTCCACCTGCCCCTTGAGTCCTATTGAATATCTTGGAGACAATAAGACTTCTGTTCAGGTGATTAATGAGGGAGTGCTGTTGTTGCCAACACCCCTATTCCTTGGGTCTTGACTTGGGCCTCCCCCAATCCTTTCCAAATATTCCTTACTTTTCCCTGTTAAGCCAGAGGGAGTCGAGTTGCACTGTGCTCTGTCCTTATCCCCATTTTGTCCAGACCCTTTTCTCCATTCTCACCGCTTCTCCTGATCATGCTGATTTTTAGAGGAAGCCTGTGGCCCTCAGCACTGACTTCAGCCCCTAGAAGCAAATAGTGGTAGTTGTAACATGGTTCCTTTGCCTGTCCCCAACTCAGGTTTCCCTGGCTGATGGACACAAGTTTGATCGAGACGTGGAACTCCTGATCTACCACAGTGAGGTGCATACTCCCAGTGTAGCTGTGGAGATGGGGGTGCCTGAAAGCAAGCCAGGTATTTTCTTTCTCTTTGCAGTCACTAAGGGGTGACTCTCTGTCTTGGAATTACTCTCGCTTTTCTTTCTCTCTGTCCATTAGTCCATAAAACATAGTCTTTGTAAAATATTGAAATAGCTTACACTATGGCATGCAAAAATGGTTAGGTTTAATGAATATCATGTAGTTATGTCTTGCAAGAAAATCTAAGTGGATAAGTAGATAAATAATTGACAAGAGAAAATACAGCCAGTTTATAAACATATATAACAACAAGCTGTCTTGACGGAAATGCAAATAAAAATAATTGTGACATTTTTCATCTTTCAAATTATAAAGATTTCCAAATCTGATAATACTTCATGCTTTCAAAGGTGTGGTCAATTTGGCATTCTCATAGATTGCTTAAAGCAAAATAATTTGGTATCAACCTTTCCCTTTGTGGGAGAAATGTGGAAATTTTACCTAAAAAAATAAATCTAATTATAAGTAAAAATATGCACTGATATGTCCCCTGCCATTTTAATAATACCAAATATTAGTAAACAATTGAAGTATTTTACACTGACTAAATTCTCTGTGCTAGATAGACTTGATGAGTATATACTTGATATATTTGATGAGTATCATTTTTGTACAGCTACTAAAATAATGTACATTGACAGATTGAAATAATTTGGAAAAAAAACCTCTAAAGAATGATAACTAAAAGAAAAGTAAGTTACACATACAGATTACCACTATAAAATAACCTATGCATCAGGAAAAACTTTTAAAAACACAAGAAGTATGCAAGTAGGAATTCTGAGTAGATTGACTAAGTTTATATTCTTAATTTTTTTTATGTAACAAATATCTTTTATTGATTGATTCATCACACCTACATCTAACCTGGACTTCTTTCTTTTTAATTTTTTATTGTGGTAAAATATATGTAACAGAATTCACCATTTTAATCATTTTTGCACGTGTACATTCTGCGGCCTTAATACATTTACCTTTTTGCAAAAACATCACCATCATCCATCTCCCAAGCTTGAATCTTGCCCTAGTTTCTTAATTTCTAAGACTGAGTTTAGCTTCTTAACAAGTTTAGATTCTTAGTTTCTTTTAATCTCTTATGTTCTAAGTTTTCTGTAACATGTATGTACTTTTCCTTGTAATTATAAGTGGTGTAACCCGCGTCTGTCTGTGGCTCTCTTGGGGCTTTCCTGGCTGCCATGCCTCTGTACTGCAGGGGCCATGAAGCCTGACGGGAAGGATGCTGCCACTTCTGAAGCACTTTCCACATTGGGGGAAATGGA